TCTTCATTCAATCAGTAACAATAATGTACAGAAAAGCGTTCCGCAGAAAAGCGCATACGCGTTTCAACAAAAAGGCTGAGAACGGCTTCAACAGTGTGCACACTCATACTGGCTGACACGCCCCACCGGTCCGCAATGATGAGGACTGTATTACAGCCCTTTCGGCTCGCTACCCGAGAGGACTGAAACTCACTTTGGCAACGCTCTTACTGTGAGAGGCACTCTTCCCTCCTCTATGCAGCTCTTCTCCATGTCTGTGGTTAACGGCGTTAGACGCGGAAACACATGCTGAACCTTCACTGTAAATAATACACTACTACTTACCACATTAGTGATAAATAATGTAACTATTTAATGTATTATCGTGATTTGTTATTGTGTTATGCGAATAAAAAGCTATGTAACGTTTATGTGCTGCCTCTTTGACACCATCGAAATAGTCTTGATTCGCAATGCAGTTCAAACAATACATGTTGGGTATGCTCACTTAAGTGCACACATCCGGCTTGTCGTTTGGGCGGAGTCACTTCCATAGCTGTGTTTTCCTCATTCGTGCGCTCCTCCTCCGCACTATCTTCGAAAAAAGGGTTATTACTGAGAAGGCAGCGCCAATCTAAGTGAGTTTCCCCACAAGATCAGCACGAATTGTGTTTTCAGACAGATGATTTGTCCGCTGGTGCTGCTTTTTCAGATCATTAGGTATGGAAAAATGTTATTAGAATTCACAGCTTACAACGGAGAACATTGCGAATGGCGAAAGTGAATGCCCTTCCGCTACGGCTCCAGCCTCACACCTCAACCTTGCTCCTTACCTAGAGGGTAGGGGCCTTAGGTCGTTAAGTTCTACAGGGCGGAAGCTATAATTTCCTGACCTGTTACTCCTCTGGAACCGTCAGAATCGCGTTGCTGTGCATAAATGGGAACAAACTATTGATCGGAAACTGAAGTAAAATTGCAAAAATACTCCTCCTTTGAAATTCAGAGACTTTCTATCGGAAAGAGTGTTTGGGCTGTTGAGGGCAGGGTTCGAAAGCGATAAGGTTGCAGTTTTTCAACTTGTTAATTTATTGATCGAATTGTTTGACATCAGTTGATCTTGCCTGTAGGTGCGCCATATGTTCGAGTCCGACAATGAGTCGCAGAGCTATTTGAAGGGTATTACCATTCTGAAGACTTGATCATGACAGACGATAACTCTGGCTAAGGTCAAGAGAAGGTTCATAACTTGGCGCAGTTCCATTCAGGCTGTGTCAATCCCCAGTTTTGTCATTTTCTCTGAGCATACATGCTATATGCTTAGAAATAAGGCAGTTCTCATCCAGGCGTTAAGAGCTAAAGTATGAGAGCGACTTGTCCTTTTGATTAGCTGAGTATTCGTCAGGTTATAAAACTTTTAAGAGCCTGAAAGCTGCATTTAGACTTGCTTTCTGAACGCTGTGTGGGCGTCATTTTGAATTCACTTAGGTTTTGTGTGAGAAGTTCATTCAGAACCCTAGTTTTCATTTTTGACGCAAATTATTCGCTCCCCAAGGTTATTTAAAACGCGAGCCGGCCTCTCAGTTACCCTAGCCCTAAGCTGTTCGTCAGTGCTGCCTGGGGCCGTCGCTGACGACCCTCACAAGCCACTGCTGGAATACGGCTTCCTTGATGCGGATTCCACAGCTATGACGTACATTGGCTTGGAGCTGCAGCTCAAGCTCTTCCCATCAGCCGTTTAGGCTTCTAGCATTCTCTAAAGGCGTGCGCTGTACAGCGCCAGTCATGCTTTCGCGCACGGAAATTTGGCGTCATGGATTTTTGCTCGTTTTAGTCAAAGACCACTTCATGTTCGCAGTAGTGCAGGAACCCGGAAACTAACACAACTGCTTTTAGACTTGTGTCGTAGTCGGAGCTACCCATGCGCGAGATTTTTTCATCGGTCTATTCCATCGTGCATGTCATGCACTGGTGACGCGCGAACAAAGTTCTATTAATGTTTTCACTTTTTTCTCAGACTCAAAGAACACCTATAAGATCACCTACCTTGTTCCGATTTGACTGATCGTTTAAGGATGCTGACGATTTCCTCTTCAAGCTACTCCCTTCTAGGTGCATTATTGTTCCGCCGGCATTCCAGCATTTTCGTCAGAATCGCGAAGTCAAGCATCCATGCTAAGCCCTCACAGTTCTTGTTATTGAAGGTGTGTACTGTACTAACTGCACCAGCGTTGCTCATCGATCGCGCAACTGGAACATTCCCGTCTTTCTACCTCCTTGTACTTCCTTACAAAGGCATAACTCCACTATAGCTTGAAAAAAAACCATTACAAAAGAACCACCAGGATCGAGCTTCTCTTAGTCTTGGCATTGTTGTATTAGGTTGTCGCATAAGTTCTTATACACGACTTTTTTGTAAATATCTCAAACGAACCAGCCTGGAGATTAGAGGTATGCACCAATTCACATTCACGTAGCTCGACGCCAGCGTGCAGGCCAGCTTTTGTCGATTCCATTTCAGAACGAAGGGGAGGAGGCGTGGGACTTTGAAGAGTCGTCGGGCGCCTTTCTGACTGATCCTATTCATAAACTTTTTTACCGTCAGATATGCGTTGTCAAGGGGCGAACAGCCAGTAGTCGAAGGAGCGAGGTCAGGCCTGTAGGGCCAGGGGTGGGCAGATCATGCGAGCCTGCCGTACTTCTTCCAGCTCCGCCTGGCTCGCCTTTCGTGTCCGAGGGTCGGGCGTAGTCAGATGGTGGAAGTAGATTTCGCGCATCCCTTACCACCGAGTACGGTCGCGTCTGATTCTTTCATTTCGCAGCTGGTCGTATGTGGAAGGCGTCAATGCGTCTGTCCTTCTCCAGCAGCTACGCAGTACTCATGCCTCTTCTGGCCAGCGGACCGAACAGTCAGGAGAGAACCTTTCTTGGGGTGAAGGTCGGCCTTTTGGGTGGCTTCTGGCTGTTCTCCTTTGTCGACCCACTGCCGCTTCCTCACAGGGTTATCGTAGAGGACCCACTTCTCATCTCCAGTGATCATCGAGTTGAGAAAGTGAAGCCTCTTTTGGAAAGTGAGGAGAGAAGTGCAGGTGGTCACCCTCCTCGAGAGGTCATAAGCGGACAGTTCATGTGGGACCCATCGACCAAGCTTTGCTACCTTGCCGAGCTTTTCTAGTCCACGTGCAACCGTCGAATGATCATAGCTAAGCATGGTCGCCATTTCTCTGGTGGTGAGGTACGGGTCCTCCACGGTGGAACGTAGTCTGTCCAAAATCAACTCATCGGCCGAACCCCTCCGAGAGCATCTTCGAGAGAAAAGTCTCCTTTCTTGAATTTGGCGAACCAATTCTTGCATGTCATGTAAGAGATGACGTCCTCACCGTATGTATCCACCAGCTTGGTATGGGCTTCCTTTGCATTCCAGCCGAAATCGTGGAGCAAAACCAAACAGTGGCGCAGGTACGTTTTGTCACAGGCGAAATTGTGGAACGATTCGGTGTACCTGAAAATGCAAGGCTGCAGGTGACGTGATAGGCTATGTAATGAAAGAGTATACATGTCATGGACACGTACACATGATGACGTTATTCCAACATCCATGCGAACGAAATAGGAGAGGACCAAACACGTGTATTAAGAACTTATGCGACAACCTAATAGCAAACCACCTAACGGTATAGATTGGTAAATGTGAGTTGGCATACCTTGATCTCAGCCGCGATGACGTGAGATCGCACGCACGCCCAAACTGCAGCGCCATAACTACACAATGAGCTTACACCTCGTCACTTCGCGACCGGTCGAGTCATTCAGCGTGAACAAGAAGTGCATTACAAAAGGCACTGAGACATTGAGAGCTACCGCGGTTACAGCCATCCGCATGGTTCCTTGATTGAACTCTGGTTCTACTTCAATCTCTGCGAAAATCGTCCATTAACTGGTCAGTGCTCGCTCTGCTGTCCCCAGTTCAACGCTGTTGCCCATTTAGTGAAGATGGTGGGGAACTGACTGGCTTGTCCGTTATTTAGCTGAAGATGGTCGGAGCCTGTTTAACAAAGCAGTGAAGCTAGAAATCATCTTATCAAATTCACACTGCTTTAAGCCCGTACTGCCTTCCCGAGAGCATATTGCAGACTCCGACATATGTACATAATCCGTTTTTTTAGGCATCGGAATATAATACAAACAGGGCGAGCACTTAGCCAGTTGGAGGGAGAACAGCGAGGACGTAGTTGAAATTAACGACAAGCGGAAAAATAGTCTTGAACAAGTTCCGAACCATTTGTTTGCCTCATGGCATGAAGCTCAGGTCTATAATCGAACTTGAAGACACGATCGA